TCGGCAGGACGCGATGTTCCCCGATTCGTGAATATTTCAGGCGAGAGAGTTCTGCCAATTTAAAACGCGAAAGCACTTAATCGAGCGACCCTATGAAATCTCCGTCGTTTCGAGCGTCACGAAACGAGTTAACGACACGGGTTCACGTGTCGTCAATAAAACAAGCCCGCGCTGTGCATCTGTATAATCTAAAATATGGAATAATGTACCGCGTCGAGGTAAATATACGCGCCGATGTGAATTATATTCTACAAGTTCAACATTATTTCGCTTTCTGTTTTTGCATAATAAAAGCGTGATAATATTGAAGGGACATCTCGTCACGATGGCCACGCGAAGAAACGTAATTGAATAGCGCTTTTCGCGCGTCGATAACCATCGGATATGCTTTATGTAAATTTTCCGTCGATATGATACGCGATACGAGATATCTCCCTCTCTCTCTCTTCTGTGCCGACCTGCCATTTACCGGTGCATTTTGTACGCGCTCGCGCATTTACTCCGACCAACGCGGAAACGCTTTCCGCGTCGAAGCAGCGCTCGTAAGTGGCGATTGTCGAGCCCCGGAAGCAGACGGATTGTTTCTTCGTCGATCGGATGCACGTCGATCAGATCGTCGATAGGTTGTCGCACGCGGCCAGGAGAGGAACGGGGGGATTAGAATCTACGGGGTGTCTGACGCAAGACACGCCAACGTGTGCGAGTCAAACGAAAAATTTCTCCAGCGTTTTTCAAACAACCATATTTCGAGATCATGGAAAAAGAAATTTCGAGATAATGAAAAAAGATTGAGACGAACCGTGATCTGAACAAAATGACTGAAACGCGAATGTTAGGGTCTTTGCACGTAGAAAAATTTTAACCGTAACCGTGAGAAAACTGACCAATCACAATCGATTATTCCTCGAACGCAAGGAGAATAATCAACTCTGATTGGTCAGTTTTCTTACGACCTTACGGTTGAAATTTTTTTACGTGCAAAAGCCCTTAGCGACACGCGCACGGCACGCTTGCGATGCGTCGAGAAATAATCGAAAAAACGGTTTGGTTGAATTAACCAAATATCTGGTCGAATATAAACGATCCAGAAATTCCGATTGAAGTAACCCGAATTTTGTTTAAGTTAACAAGATTTTTGGTTGACTCAAACAGAATTCGGGTTACTTAAACCGGAATTTCTGGATCGTTCATATTCAACCAGATATTTGGTTAATTCAACCAAACCTTTTTTTCCGTGTAGAGTCCTAGAAATATGGATATGGAGGGAAATTGTTTGGCTGGTTAATTGAATCACATGATCATATCGTTTCTTGCGATGATGAGCGAGTAAAGGTTAATGATACAGTAGAACATATCCGCAGCTGACGTCACAGAAGAATATTTGCTACAGCTTGTTATGGTGAGCATTTGAGTGCACCACGACGTAAATATTGTCGTGCTTAGAGCTCCTTCAGCCAGAGTCAGGACAAAGCATGATTATTCCTGATTGGTCTGCATCCTGTCCGCCATTCTTAAGAGTGACGTGAGCGAGAGTGAGAGAGAAGCTCTAAGACTGAAATAACGAAGCGCAGTTTCTCTCTCACTCTCTCACTTCCTCCCTACAAATGGCAGACGCTGTCCTAACGCTGACTTGACGAACTCTGCGTAGTAAGTTAAAGTTATAAGCGAGCAGCTCTTAATTATGACGAAACTACTTTTATTTGTGTACATTTTTCTTTTTTTTTCATTGATATCTCAAAATTTTAGGTGATTGTTTGAGAAATGATGGAGGAATTTTTTCTTCAGTCTGACCTAATCCTGTGGCTTTTGGCCATCTCGTGTCGGACACCCTATATATACGCCGTTCTCGCGGGCGTGTCGCGCGCGAAGTGTGGGATGCGCGAGTGCGCGACAGGCTGGAGAGACAGGGAAGTAGACGGCAACGTCAGCGAATGTCTGACAGGTACCGGAAAAGGTTTATAGCGGCAGGATCGTCTGCGTTCCGTGACCCAGATACGATTTCATGGTGATCGTAAAGGCATTCGAACTTCCGCACTTACTTTTTTGCCTGCATTAGGAAACATTAAAGTTTGGAGGGGTAACTCTTTGCAATAAACTTGGAGTAAATGATGCTCTTACTGGTAAACGACATGTTTTTAATACGTTGGCGATGATACGAATTGATTTTATAATTATAGTAACTGAAAAGCTTGTAGCCTTTCTCGGGCACTTGTTGTTGCATGCAGCTTCTTTTTTTCTTGTTGCCTACAGCCGGTTGATGTAAAGGTAAAGTATCCGCACAAAGTGCACTCGATACGGAAGGTGATTCCTCGCTGGATGTTTTATGCTTTCCGCTTTCACTCGCGCGATCTCCTTTGAGGCGAACGTCATGGTCGACTAATTGCAGGACACTTTTTATTTTTTGCTTAGTCGCAATTTGCAATTAACGCGAGCATACGTTCCCCACATGCGCCCGCTCTCCTGTGCGTCCCTCTTGCGACTCGCAATTAAAAATTAATTATATTTACTGAAATGATCAAAAGGAGAGGAAGCCAATTTGGGGGACACATGTGTAATTTTGCGTCAAATACGACGGAGTAGCGCGGAACAAATGGCCGTTGTCTCGTGTATTCGCTTGGAGAAAATTTATTCAAGAGCCATTACTCGCAGGCTTCTTCAACATTAATTATGCTCGTCGTATAACTATATTCTTTTTTCTCATTTGCAGACGAAATTTTCTCAAAGCTCTAACAAAAAAATTATCTGTTTGCTTATTAAAAAACTCGTTTGTCTTTTGTTCAAGCTTTTGTTCGAATTACCGAGTGGCTCCGTTCAATAATTGGAATAGCGTTTAAATTTTTACAGAATAACAGTCGATTTTCATAGAAAAAAATTGCGCGTAATCCAATATTCCTGCAATATCATGAGAGATATTACATTTGTTAACGAGATGTTTACATCCCTATCTCCCGTTCCGGTGTAACTGCATCGCGATATGTATTATAACGAAAAAACAAGAAAAAAATAGGAAAAAATACAACGGCGTATCCTGTGTTTGCGCGCACCACGCTCTCAATTTACAGACTGTCGCGTAATCCTCTGAGCGAATTTTCGCGTCCGAAGTTACGAAGTTCTCTTGAAGTTCTATGACGTTCCTGCATTTTCTCGCGCGCGCGGGGGATCAACTGGCGATTATCTCGCGCAAAGACACGTTGGCTGCGAGAGAGATAGGGAACAAGAGAACGCCGTAGGTACCGAGACGACAGTGGAGGCTGGTTTAAGACCAACCAAAGAAGCCGGACGTTATTCAGGGGGAGGAAACGGGGTTCGGGGAGATTTAATATCAGATAGGATTGAGAGGAAAGGGCAGCTTGGAGGTAAACAGCGGTGCTAAAAGGGGGCGGAATTTGTATTTTGTCACTCCTGAGCGCGTATGCATAGCTGAGAGCCGCGGTATGCAACGACCGTGCCCGAGGGACGTGTAAATTTTAACGGCTTTCGCAGGGGGTCGAGAATCGAGAAGATAGTGGAGTAGGCGCGTATCCTATTCGTTCACGTGGCCCAAACTTCCCTTTCGGGGCCGCGAGATTGTTTCTTGCGGGCGATTGTCTTGCATTTCCCGTGCTTCCCGCGAACGACACGAGAAAATTCACAGTCGCCGCGAAAACATATTACATCGATATAAAGGCTCTCCTTCCCTCTCTCTTTCTCTCTTTCTAGTTTGTAACTTGGACGAATTTGCGACGTACTTTACATAAATATTAACTCGAGTGCGGTAAATACAAGATCGCGCATACTCAGTCTTCTCGTAATAAGATGTACGCAACGTCGCGGCGTTCTGATTGCGCGATTTCGTCGAGAATTTACACGCCCGGCGAGTGATGCGCACGCGGGCGGTGATAAAACGTGACAGCGCATTACAGTATGCCAAAAGGTTTCTTCCTGAATACCGCTAGAAAAAGACCAAATCGGAAGTCATATCCGCCAAACAAGAAACGCGAAAGAGTTGTGACCCGGCTGTCTAGTCGTGTCGTCGCGTCTTTTCGTCTCTCACCCCGCTTGGAACTTTCCCCGTGTCTGACACGATCCCGGATTACGACAATCGTAAAGCCCGAGTGACTGTCTCGCGGCGGTAAGCGGACGTTTATCAGACATCGTTCGGCAAGCGCGGATATTAAACGATACTCGTTGCACTTTTGTGCAACCGCGAGCAGAGGGGCGTTGTATCGTTGCGACCGCGATTGCGCCCCCCATTGCGTTTACGATCGACGGAGAAGATGGTTTCATCCCGAGCTTTTCACGGGTGTCTCTGCTCCTCTCTCTTTCTCCCCCTCTCCCCTCCTCTTTCCCTCCCTCCCTCCCTCCCGCTTTCTCTCTTTCTCTCTCGGCGACACAATGAGCTTTTGTTTCCATTGAAAACGACACCGCCGTGTCTCGCTCAAGATATTAATCGGGGGCGAAACTCCGCTGCGGATCAAGCGGTATTATGATGGTCTTTTGTACGTGTGTGTGAGCGTGCGAGAGGGGGGAGGGAGAGAGAGAGAGAGAGAGAGAGTGTGTGTATGTGCGCGTATGTAGAGTATGGAAGAGACCGCGAGCTGATTGAATCGTAAATTACCCCGCGGCGAATTATTCATGGTGCGCTTTCGTTTCGCCAGAGCGCGTAATAATCCAGTCGCGTTTTGCAACGCGTCAATTTTTAATGCCGTCTCGGCTCCTCGCGCAAGATTTGTCACTGTGGCGCGGTCTGCATATGTCCGCACAGTGTCGGGATCATTAATTATGAAACCCTCCGGTGGCATTATTTATCGAAGTCCCAAAAGCCATTCGGCAAAATGGATTGATTTTGACGAGCAGTATGAATGATCTTCTCCATCTCGGCGCTGTGCAATACTAACCGTACTCGAGACGTAAACGCACGACGTTCTCGACGACGACGTCGTCTGATTATTCGCTTGTTAATATTTATGAGATACGCCACGGTCTTACCGTAATTAACTTTCTTGTTGTTTTATTTGCAGGAGGGATCTCGCGGTGATCGGAAAGAGGGGGGCAAAAGGGGACGCAAGCCTGGAAGGAAGGCGGCGGACAGGGCCGATATGAAAGCTAAGCTTGGTAAGTACTTCGACGTGAGCGAGCGGCCGCGGTATAACAGGTGTGTTTGTCGACATTCCCGACAATTGCTCGAGCATTCCGATCTCGCCGTTTTGTTCGTGGTTTTCTTTCTTTTATTTTTTTTTTTGTTATTGCGGAAAAAGATCGCTTATTTGATAGAAAAGGAGCTTCTAAAATTGCAACAAAATTATTTTGCGATTGACGCAACTGAGCGTAATTTATTAGTAGCCGGTGATTTTGTGTCAGCTCCGAGAGATTATTCCTATATTAATTATATATTTCAATATGTTTAGATATACGCATATACCAATTAATTATGACTTATTAATTATGATTACTTAATGATTATAATCAATAATTATTAATCCGAATGCATTTCGTCCCATTTCAGTTGTACGATGCGTTAATTGGCTGTCATATAGAGAACGCAATAAATTATGGATTATGCGTTCGGGCTGATTACAATTGAAAATTTTTGTCAACGTCACGTGCTGTAAGCGCCGTTAGATCCCCGAGCGAATTATTGGAGTTCATGAGAAAGAGAAACTCATTTCACGTGAGAACGCGGAAGTGCGCATTGAAAGATATGAAACACGAAGCTGATAAAAATAATAATTCCGACTGATATCGTCATTGACAGAGCTTATCTGTGGTGGCTCGAATCGTCACTACTAATCTAATGTACACGGAAAAAATATTGTAGTAAAAATTACGAGAATTTTTGTATTCTTGGACCGTACAGAGTTATGGTCGGAATTACTATATATTTGTTTAAGAATGTCGTACACATCTGAAATTTTATTACAGAATCATTATGAGTACTTGAATACTTTTTATATCGTATATTAGATAGAGAGAAATCGTTGGGTTTACTAGTTTTATACACGGAAAAAAAGGTTTGGTTGAATTAACCAAATATCTGGTCGAATATGAACGACCCAGAAATTTCGATTGAAATAACTCGAATTCTGTTTAAGTTAACAAGATTTTTGGTTGATTTAAACAGAATTTGGGTTACTTCAATCGGAATTTCTGAATCGTTTATATTCGAACAGATATTTGGTTAATTCAACCAAACCTTTTTTCCCGTGTAGTAATTTAATAATTTTATTTCCAGTGAATGAGGGGATAAATCCCCTCGGAGTAGAATACGATTTCATATGATATAATAGCGTGCGCTATTTTTCATAATTTATAGCCGCAGGACACCATTCTATCTTCCCCATCCCTCCCCGGCAATGTAGTCCAGCTTCACAAAGAACATTGTAAAAAGAAATAGAATTTTAACGTAATCGTTGCTGCAATTTCATCGGTGTATATAAAGTCACGTGCAAGAACAATAACAGCAACAACAATAAGAAGAGACAGCATTCGTCATAACTGACGCGAAGACTCGTGGATACGATTCAGCTGTCCAACCCTTTCCCCTCCTTCCCTCGTCTCGACAGTACCCCGTGGTGCTTGATTAAAGCGCTTAATGGAGGCGACGATAACGCGTCGTTGTCGCGCGAGGTCGCGCGTCGACGTCGTTCGAAAACGCGGCGAATCGCTTCGGCACACGCTGCGGCGATGTTTATCTCCCTGGCGAATGAATATTTATACGCGCGGGTCATATCCCACGACGGCGATCGTCGCTCCTCGACGCCGGCGAACCGGAGGATCACCGGCCGCGGCGTCGACGGTGCGCGCCACCATAACACGGCGTTCAGCTATTTTGCAATTCCGTCGTTTTGCAGTCGCGCGGAGGTCGGTACAAAGGCGAGGGAGCGGAAAGGAGAAGGTGGAATTGGCGGAGGAAGAGAAGATGGGCGAAACTAACTCGCCCTGCCGCTTGGCCGTTGCACAGACCGCAGCGAGTAATTTCGCGGGGTTATTTCTGGAACGCGTGGTCCTCTCATTCGGAAGCTGGAAACTTTATAATCGTCTCTCTCTCTCTCTCGCGCGCGCGCGCGCACGCTATTTTGCTCCCTTTCTTCTTCGGTCTTCGCCCTCCGGTTCTTTCCGACCTACCTCAGGGAACGCGTAATCCATAGGGCATTTCCAACCACCACCTCCTCCTCCCTCTAGAATCACCTGACTTTCCTCTGACTGCAGAAACAGTTCACGGCCGATATTTTCTCGGTGAAAGAACTTTCGCGGGTAACCATTATCCGTGTGGTAATCTTCTAATACGCGTGCTGAAGATTGAAATTATATCTCTTAAGACCGCACAGAGAACGGCGAGGAGAACGGTGGTGTTAATTGAAACATTAGATTCTGTTATCTACACCTGCCAGTTTGGTGAGGTCGAAACTTCAAGTCTCATCGTCGAGTAACTGTAGTTGTGTCGACATCTCGCTGTTAAAACAACCGTCGTTTTCCTCGGCTCGCGCCTTAGCCGCGCTCTTAAAGAGCCATCCGCGACATCCTACATACCGGAAATTGTACGCACGGCTCTTTCCGGCACCGTTCTTGCGTTCCATTCGTGCGCGAGCGAGCGAACGAGTGAACGAACCAATGAACGAACGAACGAACGAACGAACGAACGAACGAACGAACGAACGAACTCGAAGGTTCCATTTTATTCCGTATACATGGCCGAGGGACTCGGTTTTATTTAAACCCGCTCTCGAAGTGCCTCGATTCGGTCCAGATGTCGGCCGTCACAACGAGATCCCAAATGGAGCCACAAATTGACTGTGCGAGAACGCTTAATTTCCGCGGCGCGCTGGTGGTATCGATCTCCCAGATGCGGCGCGACGCGACTCCACGCCGATCGCGCGCGTCAGCTCCAATCGACGTCAACGAATCTCTTTCCGATAAAATTCACGGAGGTCAGGTTGCGCCGATCGGCGGCCAGCCGTTTAAATTCGCCGGCGACTTGGCCGTGTCCCTTAAAAATCCGCAATGAGACGACCAACGACGTTTATTGCCGCGTAAAAGGCTAGCCCGATGAGCCATGAACGATGCGACGAGTCACGATCGTAAAAAGACGTTTATTGTATCTCGCGCGAGCTTTCCAGAAGAAATTTGCCGTGCCCCCACATCTAGTTTACAATCTTAAGACTCCTGGGTACTCGCCATGTTGGATTGTGACGTCAGAAACGAGAAATGGCACGCTGAGAGAATTATTGCGTGCCATTCCCAAATAGAAAGATACTTGTATGAACAGATCGCTTGAGCATACTTGGCTATAGTTTATGATCCAACCCGCAGAATTTTTGAGTTTTTGTCACCAATAAACAGTCTATACGTCTTTCTATATAAACCAAAAAAGATCCAAGCCTTATGGATGTCTTAAATTGATTAAAGAACAATTTTTATTTTCTATCAATTGTGTTAATTTTCATAAGTTTTGTCTTTTTTATCCATTTTTTAAGGATCAATAAGTATCCTTAGAGAGAAGAACATTGACTGTGTTTGACCTCTTGAGCGATTGCGAAGAGAACCTCAATGCTATCTATATCTTTTCAATCATATATCAAATTTTCATTCTCGTTTTCTTCGACATGTACTTATGTGAATTCGATCATTCTCGCATAAGTACGGTCACTTGCAAAATGTACCCGAAATCTAACTTTTTTTCCTTGATAGCTAATAAATAACTGTAGAATAAACGTGACAAGGTCGTGAACAGAGATAGATTAAAGAGAAGTGTTGCATGTCACGTTAATTTCACGATTATTTATTGACTGTTAACGGATAAGGATAATGTTTTCAGAGTATTTTGCAAGTATTCTCAAGTGATCAGAAGTGTTCTCTTATATACACAAATATCTTTTTATTTGGAAATGATACGCAAGAATTTTGGACGTGCGTTTTCTCGCTTCTGACGTCATCAATTCAAAGTTTCGCGGCGAGTATTCAGGATTCTGAAGAGTCCGGAAATTCTACGATCCTTCAACGTAGGTAGAAGCGTAGACGTTAAACTACCAGACAATCCTGTGTGATCAGCAAACTCGCAAGGACCTCGTTGTCGGAATGCGTGAGGATCACAGAGGTCGCGGAATTGGAAGTCTGAGAATTCAGTGTTTGTGAGAATCGTGGGAGTGCAAGTCGCGTAGGAATCGATGCTCTGGTAGAATTTACAAGAGTCGCGCAATAGAAGGATCCGAAAATCCGAAGCTTGCCGCTTCCTACGATCGCGTCGTTTCACGACTGCCAATTTCACTCTTTTAGTCGAACGCGCTCGACCTGCCGCGAAACGTTTATTCGGCTCCGAACAAAACTATAGTTTACCGCGAGCGTCGACCGCGCGAAAGTTTCCGGTCGCATATGCGGCGACATTGCCATGCGTCTTGCCGCGTTCCGCGACATTATTAAATCGTGAATTCTTGTAGAGCGGTGATATATGTCCGCCACTTGGCCTGCCATTATGTGTCACAACCTGACGCCGAGAACCGCAGAAATTTATGCCCGACGCGAATTCGGCCGGAACTTTAGCCGGGCGTCGCCGCAGCTCATGGCCGTTCGCGCGGCCGATCGACGACCCCATCGGTGCTTTGCATGTATCGATTTCTCGTATTAACGTGAATTCACGTCTTCTTCTCACCGTCGCGGCTTTGTCGCTTTTGTTGCAGAACGAAGCCGGCAGAGTGCGAGGGAGTGCCGTGCTCGGAAGAAACTGAGATACCAGTACCTGGAGGAGCTCGTGGCCGACAGAGAGAAGGCGGTGCTCGCTTTGCGGAAGGAACTTGAAATGGTGAGTCGTATTCTCAAATCGTGGTATCCTTTCGCAAACGAATGAATCGGAGAATTCTTGGACAGAAAGAGAGAGAAGTGACGGTTTCTTCTACTCTGAGAAAAATTTTTAACTTATCAGTGAGAACAATTTGGCAGAATTTTGAGCGCCAAATGCTCCGATGAATATATCAAAGGTAAATTTTTCGAACCCGCTGATAGATTTAGCGGGAAAATTAGTTTTGCATCTGAAACGTTACGAAGCATGCTGAATTCGTCGAAAGTTGGAAAACCTCCTCCTTTCTATCGCCCTTCGTGCGCACTGCTTTCTTCCACTACCTCTCCAAACACAAACCAAGTTGGGATAGGTGCAATGTTCTGGCGGAATATAAAGTATCACTCTTTGGCGATACGCGACTGGGAATATTACTCGCGTCTGTGTTACCTCCGTCAAAAGAGAAGCGTTCGTATTTGTTAGAGCTATTCGAACACACACTGTGAAGTATGGTCGTTCAACGGTATGATTTTATTCGCACAAATCTCTCCCTGCAGAAAGCGTAGGTATTCTCTCGCGAGTAATTCCACGCACGCGAAAGTTGTTGATGTTGCATTTTTTCGTGAAACTCGAACGATGGAACGACAACATGGAGGGAGAGGGGGG